ATGTTTAAAAAACCAGTTTAGATGGGAGAACCTGGAGATAGAATAGCTGCTTTATTTACTAATTTAGATGCAAAAGAAATTGAAAGAGGAATTGTATGTTAACCAGGGATAGTATCATTATTAGAAAATATAGTTATTGATTTTAAGAAGATTAGTTATTATAAAGGATAATTGAAGTCTTAGAATAAATTTCATATCACTTCTGGTCATTTGACTGTAATGGGATAATTGAAATTAATAATAAGACCAAAGAATTTATAGTTAGAAATTAATAGTGAAGGAGAATATTTAGAAGATTATGAAGGTATATATTGATTATCAATATTATTATAGATTTTGGAAAACTTCAAGAAAAGTATAATTTATATGGCGTGTTATAATTGGAGAAACCATTGATTGCATCTATGAATTCCTTAGTTATTGGTTCAAAATTAGATACTGATTTAGAAGCTAATATATGTAGAATTGCATTTTATGGAAATATTCTGCACTCTTTTACAGGTTAATAAATATTTCAATAGAATTACTTAAGAATTTTTAGAAAGAAAAGTAAAAATGGAAAGGTGGAAAAGGTGATAGATAATTACACTTTACTTATTAAGGATTTATTTAAGAAAGAAACAAATATTGCTAATTATATTGGAAAATTGATTGTTATTAAATAAGGAAATATTTAAGGTAAAATTGAAAGTGCTTTTGGGAAGAGTGGGAAAGTAAAAGTATTTGTAGAATCAGGAACGAATTAAGATATGATAAATAGTGATGTTGTTATGATTTATAAAAAATATCTATTTCATAAATGAAACATAATAATATTCATAGATTTGATAACATTTCTTCTATTTCTTGTGTATGTTGTTGGAATTTCTTTTCAAAAAGCTTTGCTTCTACTAACACTATTGAACTGTTAAATTGTTTAGATCGAGGTTAAAGATCATAATTAGAACTTCTATGAGTATGTCTCTGTTCTGGTTTAAGAGATTATAGAAATTTCTCAATTTAGAATGCCTTAGCTGATGCGTCAATATTGGAATTTATTATGGATCTAAAGCATTCATAGTTACTCATTATTTAAACATAATCTGGATTACTGCTATCAATCAAATGAGTTATAAGAGCAGTGAGTAGGTTATCCATTAAATATATAATATATAATCATTTTATGGGTTTTTAATCTGAATAACTAACATTGATGGCTTTAACAATAATTTCTTTGAACTCTTAAAAGCTTATCTAAAGAAGATATATATATTTAAAATACAGATCCATCTCCATTAGCATCTACTTCTGCTAATAGCTCTTTCCATACTTCATCACTAACTGCAGTTTCATCAGATCCAAAGATTCCTTTAATTTCATCAATTGATATTGATCCACTTCCATCTTTATCAAACAATCGAAATGCTTATTCTAATCGTTTATCTTCTAATAATTTGACTTTATTAAAAGTAGCCAAGACAAATTCTAAAATTATTAATAACTATTTTTAAATACCTGAATAATCTATACTTCCATTCTTATCTTGATCTATTTATTTCATTAATTTTGTTACTTCCAATTCAGCATCTGTATAACTCATAACCTTAGCATAACCTTTAAAATATTAATATAGTATAATTACCTAAAATAAGTTCATCTTTTGATAATCTTCCATCTCCATTTAAATCAAGTGCTTAAAATTATTATAATAATTCTTATTTCTCTTAACTAGTAGCCATTTAATTAACCATAAAGGTTAATGCTGCTTCTTAAAACTTCTTTTCTACTCTAAAATTTCTGAGATTATTCAAAACTTTTGTTAATTATGGTAAATCCATTTCTGTTTTTTTAACATATGTTGTAATCCAAGGATCCCTCAATGCTTATTCAGCACTAATTCTTCTCTTTGGATCCCTTTCCAACATCTTACTTATCAATAATTTAGCTTCATAAGATATTTAATTCCATTCTTCTCCATCAAATGTTAATTGACCTTCTCTCACAGATTCAAGTATCTCTTCATCCTCTTCTCCATTAAAAGGAGGGATTCCACAAAGTAAAATGTATAAAATTACACCACAAGACCATACATCACATTTTTCATCATATTTCCTTTCCAATACTTCTGGTGCTATATAATATGGCTAAATTTATAAGAATCATTTATTTACTGTTCCTAGTTTTTAATTCATCTTGTAACCTTATTCAAACATTCTACTAGTACCAAAATCCACTATCTTTAACAAAGCTTATGGTTTAGTAGATTCATATAGAATATTCTCTGGTTTAAGATCTCTAAATCAAATCACATTAATCTTTTACCTATGCACAATTTTACTCTTGTGTAAGTAATTAACTGCACTCAATATCTATTTAAGAGTTTCAGCAGCTTTTCTTTCAGAAAATGATTATTATTCCTATATCTTATCAAAAAGTTCTCCTCCAGTGCATAATTCAGTCACAATATAAATATTTTTACTATCCTAATAGAACTCATAAATCTTAATAATATTTGGATGATCCTATCTTCTAATTATAAATTTACTAATCTTTTAAGAATTTCTATTTCTATTCTTAATCTTTCAACTTCCATCTTGCTTGCTTTTTCTTTTGAAATTACTTTAATAGCTCTAATTTAATTTGTGACTTTATGCACACCTTTTCTAACTTCACCATAAGCACCTTTTTTCATGTTTTAATAATACCTTTTCCGATGGGAGGTTTCAGAAGTGTGTAATCATTAGTGATTAATCCATGTTTTTCTGAAACCATACCTGAAGATGAAATTTTGAAATGTGCAACATCCTTGACTAAATAATACTATAGATATGATTACTTTTATTTGGATTATCCACTTCTTCACCTTTACTTGATCCACAACCCATCGGTATAATTATATATATTATATATATTATTATTAGAAATTGTTATATTATTAATTAACACCTTTTTTGTATGATTCTTAAGTATAATTCTTCTTTTTATAATAGCACGTAATAAAAATATTTAATTATTTTTTAAAATCGTATATATTAGGTTATTATATCTATAAGCTTTTTAATACTTTAAATGAACATGAAATACTTTAAAGAATAATATATAACTAATATCAAAATCATCTTAAAATCATCATTTTTCTGATAATAAGTATTTTTAAGATTTAAATGTTGGACTGTCTTCATCCAAATTTTACTTTTAAATATATTTCCTTTTTTTGTAACAACTACTTTCTTACGATAAAGTAGGTGGCAACTACTATTAAAAAGTAAATATATTTTAGGAGCTTGATACTCTAGCATGATTAGAATTACAATCATTAGAGTTAAAAATATCATCAAGGTTTTCACAAAATTTAACTCCATCTATATTTTAACACCAATCTGTCATTTATTCATTACTTAATTCTATTGTTTGTTTATTGCAACAGCTTTATCCCATGAATAATAATTATTTATAATTTTAGTGAAAAAAGATTAAATCTGCTCTAATAAACTCAATCACATTTGAATGACATTTTATTTGATTCTAATAAAATCCAAATTTGTCATTAATCAAATGTTTCAATTTTAAACTTTATTTAATGAATTCAATATTTTCAGTAATTTTATTCAATCATCATCAAATTCAACTCTAATTTAATTTATTTCTTTAAATTCTTCTCCACTTATTCTATCTCTTATTGTAGATTCTAGTTCCTAATCTATAGATCTTAAATTATCTGTGAATACTATTTTCTATTTTATTCTTTTGATCCATGGAGCTTCAGGATAATTTTCAACTATTTATGGCTAATACTATTAAATAAAAGATACTGTAATTTTTTCAAGTAACTTTTAATCAAATGCTATATCTATAGAGGGAAATTCTATTCTAGGTAAACAAAACGACAATTTAGTTCTTATCTTGTATTTTTTCAAAGGTAACTGTAATACTGGTAATAGTGAACTAAGTCTATTTTTTTACTGAAATAAATAAAATTCATTTTATATTATTAATTTTATATTCTCTCCTGTATCTAACATATCATCATATATCAATTTTATAAATATCTATAATTAAACTTTCTCTTCCATACTATTTAAATTATCATATAATTTATTTAATATTTCTATAGCTATTGTGTTATTATTCATCATTAAATTAATTAAAGCATTATTAAATAGATATTCTTTAAAGTTGTATATTTGATTTCCAAAATCATCATTACTATTAAAATTTTCTGATTTGCTTTCAAATTCATAAGAAAGATTTAAATATTCTAGCGCCATTGAATATTCTCTCTAAAATACAAGTAATACTCCATAATAAAACCAAATATGACATAATTTGAATATATCACCTTCTTATCTACTCATTTATATCTTATTTAATACAGATATATTATCTTATAAATTTGTGTAAATTTCATTTGAACACATTAACTTAAGAATATTTACTATTTGAAAATCTATATTAGCTTTATTATTATTCTCTGAAATCAATTACAACTCTGAATGAGCCATATTCAACTCTTTGTAGAAAAGTAAAACCTTAATCTTTAAGTATTAACTCTCAATACTTGAATCCATATTTAAAGAGAAAATGGCTTCATCAAAACTTCCAATATGAAAAAAAAGCATTCCAATCATTTAATAATTAAGTTGATCTTCTTTGCAATTCTCAACATACTTCGTTAAATCAAGATATGCATTATCTAAATCTCCTATATGAATGTATGCTCTACATCTATTTAAATAAGAATCTAAATGTTCTTATTCTAAATGTAAACAACTTTTAAAATCTAATATTGCCATATCATATAATTTAAGACAATTATGTAATAGTCCTCTGACATAAAAATGTTATGCTTAATTCTCATTGCAGTTTTCAATAGCTAATTCTAAATCCTAATCTGCCTAGTCAAAATTTCCTAATGCTAAATTTAACACTCCTTTATAAAATAGTACATTAGATGATTCTCTGATCAATAACGCCTTCTATAGATTTTCTAAAGCTTAATTTAAATAGATTTTTTCATTATCTTCATTAATATTTATACAATATTTTCTTATTAATAGAGTAGCTTAATAAAAGAATGGTTCTTATTTAGATTTAAATAACTCATATGCCTCTTAAAATATCTGATAACTAGAATTCAAATCATTCTCTTCAAATTTTAATAAGGCTTGACACAATAACAAATTATATACCGAACCCTTTATTAATATTGAGAAATTACTTATTCTAATTGGTTTTAATCACAATCTAATAAATCTTTTAGTGCATAACGATAATTTGACATATAAAAATATCCATATGCTCTAAATTATAAAGCTAAAACTTTTAATGAATCATTTTATATTTATATCATTTCAGAAAGAAATTCTATACCTTAATCAAATTGTTTTTTCATTAAGAATATTGTTCCTTCTACAAAAAGTTCTATTTATATAAATTAATCTTTAAAAATATTTAAAAAAATCTTTCTTTCTAAATTATGTGAAGCTGAATAAAAATTGTTTTTATCAATTTCAAATTTAATTATTTCCAAAAGTGCCTAAGTTGTAGATTATTTATCATTGTTATATTAAACTGCTTATTCAAATGCTAGATAAGCTTCCTAAGTATGATCTAACACAAGATATATATAATTGTACTTTGTTTCTGGAACCATAGACCTTTTAAATATAATGATTCTGAATCTTCTGGATATATCTATTATAAAATATCCAAATAATAGTTAGATTATTTGTAATCAAAGACATCAAAAAATAAATAAAATAGTTTTATTATTATTGGTTTAGAATTTGATGGTTATTCTAATTAAAAAGCTTTATTTAAATATTTGAAAGCCAAATGTATTTAATTTAATTATACAAAACAATCACTTAAACCAATATATGCATTTGATTTTTTTGGGTTAATTTAAATTAATTAATCAAAATCTTAAATAGCTTTATGTGTAAATTTAAACTTTAAATACAATTCGGCTCTTAATGATAAAGCATCATAAAATCTATTAAAATTTTAGATTGCCAGAGTTAAATAATTGATTGAATCTTGAATTCTATTCTTTTAAATAAGAGAATTAGCTAAAATTAAATAAGCATCTCTTGAAAATGTTGGGAATATGGATATCAATTTTTCTAATTATTATATCAATTTATCATATTGATTTTGTTATCTATAACAAAGTGCTGAGAAATAAAGTGCTTCAGGATTGATTCCATAAGATAATAAATAATTTTCAAAGATAATTAATGCTTCTTAGATTTGATCTTATTTAAATAATGATTTTCCTAATTTTAAATCAAAAGAATCTATATTATTCAAAATTTGATTTGAATCAACTAATAAAATATCTGAATAAAATTACTTAACTGAAAATTAGTAGAGTGATTATATTTTAGTAATTTTGAGTTAGTCTAATTAAAAGAAGAACATAATGAAATTGTAGAGTCTTTATTCTTTTATTTATGAGTAGATAATGAAAATTGAATTTGTTGATCAGTCTTTATTCTACATCTATTTTAACTGGTTGATCTTAAGTTTATCTTATTAGACTATTTTTATTAAAATACAATTGATTATGATCCTATATAGATGATATATTTATATTACTTTGATTATGTGATGGAGTTCCATTTGGAAATAGAATGATAATAGATTCTTTGAAGTGATTCTTATTTTATTTGAATTTCCTTGATTTTGAAGATTTAAATTACCTAACTTTAGCATTGAATTATACATGTATGTTTATATTTGAAATTGAATGCACAAATATATTGGGATAATTTATTATTTAAAAATAACAAATTCAGATATGCGTAAAAGATTAGGAGCCTTACATGCAGATTCTCTTGAAGAGTATATTCAACTGGCCAAAATGTCCTGGTAATAAGAACTAATATATTATGGAACACAATAAGAGATTGCGGGTTAATAGAGAGGGTTTGATAATTCAGAAAAAGACACAAATGTAAATTTATATTATTAACATTTATAGACATCTTCTATTGAGGAAGAGTAAGAGAAGAAAGAGCAGAGCAATATTAATGTATTAGTTATAGACAATCTTGATAAAATTGACCAAGTGTTTAAATATTGTGGAACATTTAGAAAGCCAAAGAAAAATTATTATTTGGAATATTGTTCAAAATTGGAGTTATCTGATTCAAAGGAGACTCATTTTCATTTTTGGATAATAAATTCTTCAAGTGTGAAATATTAAGAATTAATTGATGGTATGTGGCTTCATAAATTATATTTAGTTTATTATAGAACAGCTGATTGTTATGTTTATTTGAATAAGAAATCAAAGGAACATTAATTTTTAAGATTTCTTGAGAAGGTGAAATTGGTAAATAAGAACAAAAATAAAAAGATATTTAAAATTGGAAATTGTAGAAGAATTAGTGTAATAAATATATATATATTATAATAGAGCATCCAAAATTTATAAACTATTAATGAGAACCAAATAGTTAAGCTAAGAAATTTATAAGAGGGATTAAAAAAAGTAAGAGAATAATATTTTTGATTGAGTTTGTATTAGTTAAGGCATTTTATCAAAATGTTGGATGAAAATCTACTTTTTTTAATCAATAACATATTTATATATATATAATTTAATTAATAAATGGATTTCTCAAAAGAATTTGAAGAATATATCAAATTAAAATATGTATCCAAACTATAAATCGGTTAAACAGTTAATACTGTAACAAAAGTGTAAATTACTACATTAGAAGGGGAAGAGTTAGACTTAGAATGTGACATCTATTAAGGAATAAAAGTATTGAAATACAATAAGGTTTATGAGAATATGGAATAATTATTGAACTAACATTCTAAGTTATACTGTTAAAAGTTTGAATAGGACTTATCAAAAAAATTAGATTCATTAGTCTAACAAGTTGATGATGAAGATGATGATGATGAAGAAGATGATGATTGATTTAATTGAGATCTTATAAAAAGATTTAAAAAAAAATAATTTAATAAATAATTTAATAACATTATGGGTTCTATTCAAAATAATTCTTGTTGTAGCTAATTATCATCTAATAATTAGGAAATAAATTTAAGCAATAAATAAGAAAATTTAATTTCTGCACACAGCTCCCCTAAAAATTTTGAATAAGTCATCCATAATTTTAATTATGAATCATAAAGAAAGAAGGAAATTTAATATTCAGATAAAGCAATTTAGATTCAAAAAAATTGGAAGGGATATAAATAAAGGAAAAATTATTAAAAGAGAAAACCTGGTTTTACTATCAATTAAGAAAATTCGTTACAGTAATAGCCAGTTTAAATTAATTCTTAAGACAGTTTAACCTTTATCGAGCTTGCATAACCTCAATTATCTAGTTGTAAATTTGATGAAATGGAACCACTAGAAAGTTTTGAGATTAAGGATTTTGCAGTTTATTAGTATAGAGATGGATCAATTTATGCTGGTGAAATTGTAGATTGTAGGAGAAATGGAAAGGGTAGATATTACTATAAAAATGGATCTATTTATGAAGGGTATTAATCTTATGTATAAATTTGATTAGAGATTGGAAATTGAATTAACCACATGGATATGGAAGATTTCTACATTAAAATGGGGATTTTTATGAAGGCAATTTTAATGAAGGTAGATTGGAAGGATATGGAGTTTATAGAAAAAATAATGGAGGTGTCTTTTAAGGAGAATGGAAATGTGATAAATAACATGGAAGAGGTAGTGAAGTATGGGCAGATGGAGCTAAATATGAAGGTGATTATGTATTAGGTAAAAAACATGGAAGAGGAACATTTATATGGGCAGATGGATCACATTATGTTGGAGATTTTATTAATAATTGTATGGATGGATTTGGAGAATATGTTAAATCAAATGGCAAAAAAGTAAATAATAATTAATATAATTAGTATATTGGATAATTTAAAGATGATATGATGCATGGTGAAGGAGAATTTAGTTGGCCAAATGGTAAAAAGTATTCAGGTTGGTATTATAAAAATTAAAAATGCGGTCTTGGAACATTCGAATGGCCTGATGGAAGAAGATATGTTGGTTTTTGGAGTAATGGTTTGATGCATGGAAGAGGAATTATATTTGAATAAAATGGAAAACAAACTCAAGGAGAATGGATTAATGGAGTTCTGTAAAAATGACTTTAAATACTTCACTTATACATTTCTTTTCTTTAACGTTATTTTGTTGGTGATTCTTTTGAAAATATAGTTAGATCAACATTAATAGTTTTTGGTTGGTTTTATTGTTACTTTATTCTATGACTATTTTTAATAAATGTTCTATGAAACCAATTTTAATCTCTTTCTTTTTATTCAATTATTTGTGATTAAATTTACTCTCCCATAAAACTTTGTCTAAATTTCTCTATATACATATTAAATTAAATTAATTATTACTTAATAATTGCTAAATGATATAATTTTATAAAAGAGGAAATGAATAAATTTTCCTCATTTTCTTTGTTGATCTTCTCAACATTAGCATATTCAATAGGTAATATTATCAATAATTCTACAGCTATTTCAATAATATTATCATAATGATATTTTCCTGATAAATACTTTAAAATGTCCATTCTAATATTCGGAACTTTTTCCAATTCAAACATGGTTAAAATTCTATTTAAATTTTATATTATAATATTAGAATTGTAATTTTATTTGAACAAAAACTATTTGAAAGTTCTAAATGATACCTAATTTTAAGAGCATTATAATTACTTTATTATATTATTATATCCCAAACCAAAATGATTTGAAACATGCATATATATCAATATTCTATTCTATTGGTTTCTCTATTAAAAATAAACTAAAAAATAAAAATAACACTTAATCTTCACAAAGATATCCAATTTTTTCATCATCTAACATAATATAAATTTCCTCATATTATTCTAATTGCTTAATCTTAATATTTATTTATTAATGTATCAATGATAACATATCTATTATCTTTCTAATTTATAATTCAATTTTATCAAAGTTCTTATGAACAACTTCATTATAAACTATATATGAATCTTAAATGGATAATTCATTTTTATATAGATAATCATTATATTCCTTAATGAATTTGAGATCATCAATCTGAGAATTATTGTAATTTTGAATGATCTTTATATATATCAATAATTATGTTTACATCTAAAAATGTTTATGGTTAAATCTTTTTCTCATTATTAACTAATACTTCCAATAATAATGAATGTTTAAATTGATACTTCTGAATTTCTACTTTTAAATCAAAATTTTAAATCATTATATTTAACAAATATTGTATTCTTATTTTATATCAAATAGGATGATTTATTTGAATAGAAATATGCTAGAGAATAAATCAATGTTGTATATATATATTGTATATTAATATTTCAATATAATATTCAATAATGTTATTATTGAAGTAATTGAACAAATTATTCGCTGGTAATTTGATTCTATTTTCCTAAATATTTCATAATGAAATTTAATTGATCATCTTTATAACCTAGATTATGAATTTAATTCAAATTTTAGAGATCTTATACAGTAATATAGCTTTAGTTTTTTTTTTAAATGGAATTGAATATTGCTAAACATAGATCTCTCTCTTATATTTATTAATCTCATTACATTTTTTATATCGTTTTAAAACAATTGTAATACTTCTTATTTTGTTAATTACTATTTTTTGAATTAAGCTATTCTTTCCTATAAAATCTTTGTGTTTTGAGTCATGTCTAAAATTAATCAGAATTCAAATACCTGCTGATTGCAATGCTGCAATAAATGAGTCGACTGAAAATAGTTTTGTTTTTTTATCTTTAAACAATTCAAATAATTAATCCAACTATCTATCTATATCTTACATATATTAATTATTATATTAAATAGAAAAAAAACTATATTTCAAAATAAACAGAATCGGGAATTTATATGATTTATGTATGTGAATGGTTTAATAGATTGATATTCAAAGAGATAGCATAATGCATTTTTTAGTTTCCTTAATCCATAAGTTGAATTAAAAATAAAGCTTATATTTTTATGCTATTCATTTTGATTTAAAAACAGTAAGAATTTGAATAATTTAGAGTCACTTCCTTTGATCAATATATTGTTTAATTTCGATATATTTAACTATTTGATTTTTGCAATTAGAAAGAATTTAATTAACATTATCAATCTCCCTAACTAATAAGAAATTTAAGAATAATAGGGTAATTTCTAATTAAAATAAAATAATATACAGTATTACAAAAGATGGATAGTATTTGCTAAGAAATTCAATTCTAATTTTAGAAAAATAATTAGGCCTTTGCAGATTTTAGAGAATAGAAATCAACATATTAAAGGAATATATATAATTTGCTCATCTCCAGATAAATAATTTTTTCCATGAATAACTTTATAAGATGATATTTTGATGCAATAGTTTTAAGTTAGAATTAAATAGAAATTGTATAGTACATAATAGAATTGATGAGTTTGTATTTTAGATGTGAGTAATAAATTAGATAATTGGACTATTTGTAACATCTTATGAATAAATTTAAATATGCAATATATTATATGTTAATTACAACCAAAGAGCACTATGTAATGATTAAATCTGCCAAAATGAGGACAGAACGTGAAGCAAAGCAATCAACCAAAGCGAACACTAGCAGCACTAACAAATCATACTACTAAGATGAACGCAGTCGACTTTAATAACTGATTATAATGAGCATGCAAAACCCTAAAAATATAGAAGTAAGAATCAAATGAAATGAAGACTTACTTAACCTAATTTCTAGATCAGAAACATCCAATATCCAATAGTTTCTAGTAAAATAGAGTAAGAGTGTTATCACAACCACATTTGGGCAATAAGCCTACTCGGTTTTAAAAACCTTTACATAATCCTTACATATCAAGACGATAAAGCCACATTCCAAAAGTAGACACATCTCCAAAATCTCCAACACGCACACCTTCAACAAATAGTCGTTATTTACTGTATTCGTTTAATGGAGACTATGATAAAAAAGGAACAAGAAATACTCCAATATCTAAACTATCTACTAGTGCTCTTATAGATTATCACAAATAATTAGTGTTGAAAGCATAAAAATTGATTGGTTCGAATAAGAAGAAATAATGAATTATATGTTAACAATATCATTTTTTCAGTATTGATTTACCCATTTCTTTTATAGATTAATCAATTGATTTTGATTTCACACTACTTATAGGCTTTGGACTCTTAGTTTTCTTCTTTTTCGATTAAGTTACTTTTTTTACTGACTTACTTTTTTTTTTCTTTCTATTTTTTGAATTAGATCTCGATTTTGACTATTCAACATTATCTGCTTCTTTAGCTTCTTCTACTTACTTAGCTTTCATTTATTCAGATTTCTTTGCTTATTTATTCTTTGAGTCAACAATCTTTTTAATACTCTTCAATAATAATAACAATCTTTATTTAATTGATTTTTTAGTTAATGATCTATTAATTAATTTAATATCAATAAATACCTTATATAATTATCAAAGAAGCTTAATTCATGATTCAGAATGTATTTCTGAATTTTGTCCCATCTTCCAAATCCTTCAATATAAGTTGCATAAACTATTAGTTAATCACTTTCTAAAGTGAAATAAGTTTATTTATAAATTTAATTAAAATCCATTTCTAGCAATGGATCATCATATAATTTGATAAACTTAATAAGGAGATCAGAGTATTCTTATTCTTGTTCCAATTATGCCTCTGTTTTCTCAATTCTAACCATATATTTGTTTATATCAGGAATTTCATCATATCTTTAATTAAATACTTTCATATATTATTGAATCTCCTTTTGTGTTTTGCCCATACTATTAGCAATATTCATAATATCACCTCTACCATATTTAATACAGGATTGTAAAAATTAATCAAATTCCTTTGTTCTCCACTCAAAACCACTTTATTTTAATTTCTGTAATTATTTATCTTCCATTGGAGTTAAAGGCAAAATCTCAATATCTAATTGAAAATCAAGCTGTTTTTGTTTGTATAATTCATAAAGTTTGAAGTTTTCATCTCTTTACATCAATTCTTTATATTATTATGGATCTGAGTAAAACTTATGAGCTTCAACAACAACTTCTGTGCATAATTTAGAAAACTATGGTAATATCTCTCCTTTATTTGATTATTCAACTTATTTATTGACTTAATTCAATTTAATCTATTATTCTATTACTTATAGATCCTTTTCATTATTTGGATCTTTAAAAAAATCAAAGACTTTGATTGTTTTTACACCCAACTCTACTTTTTCAATTTTATCTTTAATAATTTTGAATTTTTTATCAATTTCTTAATTCAACTATTCAGTTAGTTCTTCTCCTCTTTTTAAAAGTGTCTCAATATCTTCTTCTGTATAAGGTTCATCTTTTAATATTTAACTTGCTCCATAAGTAGTTATACTCTTCAAATCTTCCTTCTTATTCATCATCCCAACCATCTAAGAATGTCCTTTATCAATAATCATCTACTCCCATCTTAACTTGATTTATTGTCTCTCAATAATCTTCTCTTCTACAGTTGATTTACAAATTAATCTATACACCATAACATTCTTGGTCTATCCAATTCTATGAGCTCTATCCATAGCCTATTGATCTAATTGAGGATTAAAGTCACTATCATATATAATTACAGTATCTGCTGCAGTCAAAGTAATACCCAATCCTCCAGCTCTAGTAGATAATAAAAATATGAATAAATCTGAATTAGGTTTTTAAAAATTTCTTATATTTTCATCTCTAACTTCAATTGGTGTTGATCCATCTAGTCTGCAGTATTTATATTTTCTATAATTTAAATAGTCTTCTAAAATATCTAATAAAGTTGAAAATTAAGAGAACAATATGACTTTATGATTCTCATTATATAATTTCTTAAGAAACATATCGAGTACTTTTAGTTTTCCTGAATTTTCAATCAAATGCTCTCCTAATGCTGGTAAGTCTCTATCCTCTAATTCTGGAAACATATACAAATGCTAACAAATTTTTCTCAATTAAATTAGAATGTTCATTAATGATTTTTATGTTGTGACTCCCACAACTTTCTTATTTAATATTATGTTTCTATAATGAGTTTTTTATAATGGAGTCATTTAAACATAAAGATGGATTTCCTTTTTTGGTGGAATATCCAAAGCCACTTCAGATTTTGTTCTTCTTAACATGAAGATTTAAATTATAGACTTAGCTTTGTCTATCATATTCAAATTTCTCTTTTCATATTTCTCTTACAACATTTCCTTTTCTGAAATCAATTTATTTATGTAAAACCACTAATCAAAAGCCTCACTTGATGTGAATAATTGAGGCATTAAATAATTGAGTAAACTCCATAATTCATGAGGATTATTTTATAAAGGAGTACCTGTTAATAATAACCTAAACCTTGAACTTAACCTCTTCAATGTTGTAAAAAACAAACTCTCCTCATTCTTTAATTTATGTGCCTCATCTATTATTAAGTATTCAAATTTATATTTGTTTAGAATTCTTTCATTATTTATCACACATTCATATGATGCTACTATAACATCATAATCTTTCTTATTTAGATGCTTATTGAAATCATGTCTCCATTCTTCAGTGGCCATCATTTTTAATACACTGCATTTTGGTAGCCATTCTGATAACTCTCTCTCCCAATTAGTAACTGTACTTAATGGTCCTACTATCAAATGAGGTCCAGAAATATTTTTGAACTATTTCATGAACCCCAAAAGTGCAATTGTTTAAATTGTTTTACCTAAACCCATTTAATCTGCTAATATTCCATTTAATCCTGCTTCCTACATACTAATCAACCAATTCAATCCTTATAGCTGATACCCGGTTAATTTTCCTTTTTTTAAAATACTTGGTTGGGTTTTGAGGTATGTATTTGGCAAAGTACTATTTTCTTCACCTTACCTTTTATTAATGTATTAAACATATTATTTAGCTTTAGAAATCAAATTATCCATTTCTTCCTCTACTTCATCAAATAATATTGATAGTTTATCACTTACTTACTAATCTTTTATTTCTTGTCTTGAACTACTACTAATCTTAACTGGCTTCTCACAACTTAATTTGTAGAGAAACTTTTCTTATTCTCTTTTTAAATCATCAATTCGTAATAGCTATTTATGATCATCAATATATCATACTTCTTTTTTAGCATAAAGTTCTTCTTCGTCTTATTCAACATCTTCAGACTATATATATTATTTTATATTTTACTAAAACACTCTCTTCTTCACTTTCACTCATTTTAGATGCACAACTAATATTAATTATTTAAACTTAAATATTAAGTTAAATTTTAGAATATTATTTTTTATTCAGAATTTATAAATCTCCAAAATTAAACTATGAAGAAACATAAGAGTTAACAAACTTAATTTCATATTTCAGTTAATGGTTCAACTACTTTTTATTGATCTAAGGGCTAAGTGATTGGAGTTTATTCTTAAGAATGCTTTAGTTTTTAGTGCTACTTCAGAGCTGCTTTTGAAGAATATGTGTGTGTACAATTTGAACATTTGAAAGGTTTTGTTATGCAATTCTTTCTCGAGATTCTTTTATGTAATACCTAATATAATTAAATTAAATTAAAATAACAACAATAATAATAACGAGCAATTAATAAATTAAAATATAAGTTATACAAATACCTCATTATTTGATACTTATTTTTACAGCTTAACTATGCACCTATGTGTATCATCTAATTTGGCTTAAAGGAACTAGGCGAGAAGATGTTATTTCCTAACCTCAAGTTTATAGTTCATTTTTAGATTATATTTTGGTTCTAAGTCCTAATATATTTAAATTTAAACATTCACTATCATCCTTTGTTTTATGACTTGACTAATCCATTGAATCCATCAGCATAACTTTTTAATAAATTTAAACAATAATTTATTAAATACTTTTTTAATATAAATATCTGAGATTATTATTTAATAATTAAATAATTATTTATTTCTTTAATTACGATAAGTATATCTCTTTTTTATTCCCATTTTTATATTACTTCAATTATGGATCATCAAAAACAGATAATGAAAATATATATCTTATATTATAGACAACTAATTATTAATAAAATAGATAAGACCTAAACTTTAATTAATTAAATAACTAAAACATTCTCCTTATAAATCTATCATTCTAATTAATCAATAGAATACCATAAAATAAATTGAAAATAATATTTATAATAAAAAAAAAAAGATATAGATTAACTATTCAATAAAAGACTCAAATATCAAATATAAAAATTAATATTGATTTCTCGCTTATCATTTTATATGTAATTAAATGTAATTTTATTCTATTTTCATTATTTTTCGAATTAAAAAAAGAGTGAAAATACAATCTTTCTTTATTATAAATAATTTATTAATACCACTAAATTAACTAAAAAACAAGAGAAATGTCTATGATAGAATAGATCATATAAGGATTCATATAATTTTGATGTTAAACTTAATTATCTACTCAGTTTTCATTTTATTTAATTAATAGTTATTTTCTGGTGTAATTTTTTCATCCTTTTGGTGCTATGCTAGGCTCTTTTAATATATTTATAATTAATTGATTATTATGAGTCAATAGAAATTTAATGTAATCTAAAGTTATCAAAATGTATCTTCTCTTTGGATTACCATTTTTTTATTCAATCACATTCTTTGTATGTGATTGATATCTTTCTTTAATAAGCATCTTTGTTAATATATTTATATTTATTATATCTTTTCGATTTAGTATCGTAAACCTTTAATTCTATATAAAATGCCACTTAAATTTCTATAATTAAAATAAATTCTTTTCTTAGTTTTACTTTTTTTCCTCTTCTTCCATCAATCATATTTTCTGATTAATTTATACCTATTTTTAAGTATAAAATTTAAGAATTATTTAATATTAAAATCTTGCTGAAACATGGGCTCTTTTTCTTAAATTTTTATGAATTCTGTTTAAGTTAACATATTCAAAGATAAAATGCTTAGAGTTGGGATACGAAATTTAAACCCTTCATATTTAAATTAAAAAATAAAAAATAAAAAATAAAAAATTGCCTGCTGTCGGATTCGAACCGACGCGGAGTAGGCTCCAGCAGATCTTAAGTCTGCCCCCTTAACCAGCTCGGGCAAACAGGCTGTGATGCAATTTTGAATGTGTTTTAGCTGATATAGACAGTTACTTATAGTTAAAATAGTCTTAAAGCTTATGATAAATAAGGATTACTGGTGGTAAAGCACATAATGATCATCTTACATAAGTAGGTTATTAGGGATGGAGTGGCTTACAAAAAAAAGAGAATATTTGATTAAAGCTGAAAAATAACATCTCATATTAGACTTTATATCACAATCTTTCTTCTTTCTATTGGCAATATTGTAGCAATTAATCCATGTTTTAAAATTTTAGTTAATTAGTTGTAGTTCCGATTAATGGATATTAAGGATTTCGTAAAATTAGGAAGAAGGATACATGAACAATTTATATCTAACCTAAATAATGAAGTTTCACAAAATATCACTAAGGATTACATAGGATAATTAATAATGAAGTCCAGAATATATTGGAAGTTTTTGACATAATTGTGGCGAAATGCCTATATATTTTTATTGTACTTATGTTCTGACTCTTATAATATTGAAGAAATATCTAATCATCTGATGATAGCTTATTACAATGTAAAATTAGTTGCAATATCCATCAAAAGCACTTACCTAAATCGAAATGTCTTTTCATGAAGACCAACCAAAAACTAAGGAGATGAAATCTAACGAGATTAAATAATTTTAGTCTCCTCTCAAAAATAAAATACAGTAGAAATACTTTTCAATTCTCTTTAGGAATCATAACTCATGTCCCATTTAGGGCTATTTTATCTTATTCATAATAAAAGATTTCCTAGCTAATTGATCTATTTATGTTTGCTATCTGTAAATTTTATCCTCAATTATTTCCTTATTTTCCGAATAGATAATTATATATATATTTTAGAATCATAGAAGATATCAAATCTACCTTCAACAAATTTTATATATTACTCATATTTTAAAGCCTAAGGGTAGTGAGGCTGGTAATCTTGCTGCCAAGACTTCACATCCTCCCTCTGTTTTTAAAATACTCTGCTCTAGTTATGGTTGGCAGTAACCTAATTATTAATTAAAATAAATACAGCCGTCTAATTATCGAAAGACCAAAGAATTACCTTAATTGATCATAGGTTCTATAGTAAATGTATGTGCATGTTTCATATATCCAGGGGCCTTGTTCTTCTCATAATGTGTTATATCTAGTTTATTAAATTTTATTTACGTTGGAGCACAATGGAAAAGTTAGCCAAGTTCATGACTACAATTTTTACGATTTGCAGACTATCCATTTTCAGTGGTGTATTTTTCAATAATATTACCAACATCTATATATATCTATTACCTAGTTTGCAAATTTCTAATGCTTTCTGCAAACAAGTGTATGCTATTTCAACAAGAACTTTGATGGTTCACTGACTTCACCAGAGAGATGGATAGGCATCATTATCGATAATTATTTATCAACTATTTTGATAATTTGATCTGTTATTACCCAGGTTTGAGCTGCATGATCAGCATCTAATGCACAACTTCCTTAACAAAACATTTGAAAATACAATATACCAATAGCTACACATTCTTTCATTTTCTAAATTTCCTCATGTATCTTGCAGACAACCACCTTTTGAAGTTTATTTTTCATTTCCTCTGTTGGTTAACCACTTAAATGCCACTCTAGTTTTCTAAAATGATTAGGAACAAATAGTTTTGCTTATATTTTTCCTGGTCTGAGTGGACCTATAAATTTAACCTTATTTTTCTGTTCATATTGTTCTACTTATTTTTATTATAAGTTTTATGGATTGGCTAATAGAGTTTAAAGTATTCAAAATCAGAAAAATACGCTGAAGTTAAGTCCATATTTATGCAATTTAGACATTAAAAAGCTGGAGATTTATTACATCATAAATCCTATTCCTTTTTTTTCTATAATATATTGTTATTTTTAATTTATTTCTCTTTTTTAAATCAGATTTTCATCATGAAATAATATGGATATTACCTTATAATTAATTGTTTAAAAATATATGCCCCTATTGCAGAATCCATTCATAATTTAATTCGGATGGTATTCATGCAGTATTTCATAAGCAACTCCATAATGTGAGTGAATGTGTCATGCTTCTGCTACAAGAAACAGACCAATTAAATTTAATGTTGATACATTGGGATATTACAAATTATGCAATCAAAAATAGAGTGCTAATTCTCTATTTGTAATGTATATAGGTAATCGCTTTTTCAATTTTCAGATAAATCGTTCAGCAATATTATTCTGAATATAGAGGTTTTTATGAGCATTGGGAATGGGCTACATTATAGGAACAACTGATTTTTTGATTTGGAATTTCAACAATTGAAATGTGCAATACACAAAAAATGTTTAAATTTAACTAGAATTTATTCAAATCATAAAAATTCAATTATTTATTTAAAAAATATGAGTTACTCAAATTCCAAGTTATCTTCTTATCTAAGATCCCCTTCTACTTTTCCTTCTACTAATTCCTCAAGTTGGAAATCAACTCCTTTAACAAGTAAAAATTTGAATTTGAATTTCAGGTATATCATTTATGGAGAGAATGCCATATGAAAGATATACAGAGCATGTACCTGAAACGAAAATAGAATATTTGCCAATAGAAAAACGATATAGAGATTATTAAGAAGATAGTAAATATTTTCATGATCGTTACAATTATTTTGTTGCAGTACCAATATTGGAAAGAAAGGAATAAGTTTTTCCTTTTGGATACTATCAAGATGCTTTGAATTATGTTCCTTATCATAGATTATTGGTATTTTCTAGATTTAATTATTGATTGAAACATGAATATAAATTTTAAGAAAATTATTTTATCAATTAAGTTAATTGGAGTTCAAATGAGAAACAAGTTCTATAGTCTACTTAGATAATTGATATAAGAGCAAATATAAGGATTATCATGCAAGTCATATTGTCCTGATAAAATGAATCGATATATCGATTATCACCTAAGACAAATAAATCTAAATGGAATTCAATAAAATATTTATTTTAAGGAGTTGAGTACTCAATATTTAAGTTTTTATCACAAATATTAAGACTTTAGATCTTCCACATATTTTGTCTTATTTTAAATAATTCTATTTTAAAGTTATTAACTATGATCTTATGGCTCTAAATTTATATGAGTTACAGTTGTTTGTAAAGGATCCTAAATTCTGATTGAACTAGATTACGATAGACCATATTTGGAGGTCATTATTTTTCTTAATCTTAAGTAATAATTATTTAGAAACGAATTAATGAGATAAGATTAGAATAGTTACAAAAAATTAAGTAATATTTCAAAAGACTGATTTTGTTAAGAACAAAGTGATTTGAATTTAAAAAGGTGATTAATTATTCATTTTTATTAAATTGTGAATTAATCCATTAGATAAAAAATTTGTTAGGTTAATTAAAAATCAGAAACAGATTTCCTATTTAATAAGGTATTTGGAATATTGATTTTTTTTGATTATTAGTAACCAAGAAATTCTTTCTGAAATATATATATATTAGACCAGCTCGGAATGTTATCTCAAAAATAAATGATTTAAGAATTAATTGTAGAATTTAGAGGTGGTCTTTTATTAGTATTTGATTCATAATACTTTTCTGAATTATAATTGCTAAGATCTTGTATAATCTAAAATTTCTAGCTAAAAGACACAAATAAAAACAAAATTGCTAAGAGTACTATTTCAAAACAATTTAATTTTAAAAGCTCATTTGATAATTTAATTCAAAAAGCATTTTAAACTATAATTTAATCTATAGATTTCTTTTGAAAAGAAGAACATATTGAAATTGCAACTAAAATAGAAAATATAAATCCTCAACAATTTATGTGAATAAAACTATAAAAATTAATTAATGATTTATAATGATTATTAAATTTATGTAAAAAAATGGTTTCGGAGGGGATCGAACCCTCGACCGTCAGCTTATTAGACTGACGCTCTAACCAACTGAGCTACGAAACCTGTATTGATGGAAATATTTCTAATTTTCATAAATACATCTAGGGATATATAGTAAAATAAAAAACTATGAGAGATATAAATTCAGAAAGCTAAAGGTTTCTATCAGATTCTAATAATAGTAAGCATATTTGGGGAAGATTTATTACAAAGTAGGTTAAATCTTTATCATTATCAAAAAAAAAATTTATTTCTTTATTTTACATCAACAAAATTGGTATTGTTTCGAGTATTTTTGTTTATACACATCAATAATTAATAATAGTTTAGATACTAGAAATAAATATTATTTTTATATTTCATTTTTTTAATTAAAAATACCAATTTAAATTGTCTTACAAACTTTTGATAATCAAATGAAAAGATTAGTTAATAGAAAAAAGGACTGAAGTTTAAATTAGTCTATATTCTTATTCAAAATGACTTTGATTATCTTTATTTATTTTTTTTTAATTTTGTTTATTCTTTTTACATTTATTTAACAATATTAAATCAGCTTCTAAACTTAATAATTTTTTGATTATAACTTATCCTAGATTCAAATCCCATTAGGTAACCGATCCATTAACTAAAAAGAACTGATTCATTAATTGGCTCAGACATTGAGAAGGATTCCAAATAGAAAAATACAAAGAGAACAAAAAAAAAACTAAAATCAAGATCATTTGTTATTAGGTTAGCAGTAAGTAATATAAAATAGTAGATAATAAAAATTAGAAATTCCCTATTCATATACTTATAATTGTAATTTAAGGTGAATAAAAAGCATTAAAAATGAGTTAATTTTTGTTAAGGGGTGAATAAGTGAATTTAGTTAACTTTAGCTATAGCTTTTAATCAAAATAATCTTGAATATTTTGAAAAACAAATATTGAAAATAAATAATGGATTTTCTATGTTAGAGTAATGCATTATATACCTGTAATTTTTAAGCTGATGAAATAATTATAGAGTTGGAATATTTTTTTTCATAGTTAACCTAGAAAATCTTATAAATCCTAACAAGATGATGATCTTTATTTAAAAATTAAGGAAATAAAATAATGAAATTCTGATCTCTTTTATCCTCATAACAAGAAATTATAAGAGGAAAGAACCTCAACAAGAATGCTGATATGTGGAGCCTCATAATTTTAGCCAAGGAGCCATATTTTAATGAAACTCTATATTACGATATAAGATTAGATGAAATTAAATGAATGATATAGTATGGTAACAATAATTTTCTTTATTATGTTCCTGAGAAGGTAGGTATAAGAAATTATTAAAATAATTCTTGCCAATTCTAAAATGGGATTAAATTGGAAAATAAGCTATCAATCACTAATGATTAAATAATACATAAGATAGTTAAGTACAATATGTAAATATCTAACATTTTCAATCATGATTTAATAAATTAATTCATTGTATAGGCCAAACAGCCTATTAATCCTTTCATATAATTCAAATCTAACATTTCATTTGCCCCATGGGCATTTGAATCAGGTCCAAGCACTCCTAAAACAAGGAATTCAGCCTAAGGAGATCTTTAGTTTAATTAATTTAAAAATGGAATAGAAGCCCCTTCATGAAAAACTCTAGATTCATTGCCATTAAAAAAGAGTTTAGAGGCTGTATTTAGGATATCTTTTAATTTAGGACTAAAAGACTTAAGATTTAGTCCTGACCCTGCAGCAATGATGTTGGCTGTTACGTTGGCATTAAATGGGGGATCTTTTTCAAGCAATTACTTCACAAAATTGGCAGCCTCTTTGGCACATTTATTTGGTGGTAACCTTATAGACAATCTTATTATAAGCTCTGGAATTATTTAATCAATCATTTTTCTAGTTGAAGGGAATCCATCCTACCCTATATAAGAAACAGCTGGTTTCCAATTTCGATTAATATATTATTTTACTCTGCAGGATTCCATTTTATCGCATTATCTAGAAAACTCAATTTGCACTAAATCAGCAGATTATAAACATTCTTCATAACGATCAGCTGGAATGATCGTTTACAGAGATTTATGAACTTAACCAGTAACTGGATCTTCCAATCTATTTAATAGTACTCTTATAATGTTCAAAGCTTATGGAACATTTCCAACATCATCAGTATTAATAGGACTTTCTAATACTTTCACACATAAGTCAATTTTCATTGAACCTCTAAGTGAACTCGTCAACCATAACCTCTCATAATCTCCACTCCCAGAATCTAATGCTACCATTATATCAACCCTTTTTAATTCTAGTAAATCAAAATATTGCATTAGAAAATTGCTTCCACTTTCCTCTTCTCCTTCAAACAGCATTTCAATGGTTGGATGTTCAAGCCCTTGGGATAACAAAGTTTACAAAGCAGCAATAGCTGCGTATGGGGCATAACCATCGTCTGCAACTCCCCTTCCAAACATTCTATGCCCTTCTATTACAGGTATGGTAGGGCCAAATCCATCCCTCCATCCAGGGAAGTGAGGTTACTTGTCATAATGACCATAATAAAACACAGTTATTGGATTTTAAGCCTTAATACTAACATGAATCGCTTTAGGGGCTCCTTATATTGACAACATTTCTACTTTACAATTCGGGATTTTTTATTACTAGATAACTTAATTATATTACTTCAATCCAAGACACTATGTGATTACTAGCTTTATCAAGAAGACCGTTATCCTACCATTAAGGATCGAATTAAGGACTTAAGTTTGGAATGCGAACAAAATCAGCCAATGATGGCAATATTTAATCTCTTGTAAAATATTCGATAAATTACTACATTTAATAATTGATTTACAATAGTAAAAAAATGAATTTAATTCATGAAAAGAACTTGGAACTCACGTTTCTGCTAATTCACTTTGTGGAAGAAAGTCTAATAAAGATGTTACTATAGGATTCCTCTTTGAATCGAAATGATTTTATATGTTGTCATACTTGATCATTATAATTTTGAATTGTTATTTATTCAAAAGCTAGTATTCTCATATTAATATTTGAGAGATCAATTCCTGATGTGAGCTACTCGAAAAATTTAGCCTGTCTCAAATATCTGGTTTTTTGTACAAAATTATGACAATAAAATTGGTCCAGAAGAAAAATGATGATAAATAAGAACTCTCCTACTAAAACATCACTTACAAATTTTATCACAATTCCTAGATCTTCCACATGAACAAGCTCAATATTTAATTGTGAGAGTATCATCAAAATTTTTCTCCATCTATCAGAAAAGTTCTAGAATTATATTGCCTTAAATAAGATAATATTAATCTCACTTCATATATTTCTTTGTAATCTATGATAAAATAAATCATTTTCATGATTTAACAAAGTAAAATA